ACTAATAGAATCTGTTACTTAAATTGGTAAAAATTTATTGTGCACCCACAGTTTTCAAATTTGATCATCTCCATTGTTATTTTTATTAAATGATGCATCCAAAAAGCAAATTTTCTGGCTTCGCCCCTGTACATGGCTGGTATCTCAGTGAGAAGCTCAATATTGACTATTTTTTTCTTTTGTTGAAGGATGACTCCCAGTGAAATACGTGTTCTTACCGCTATTGACAAAAGGGATGAAAAAGAAAGACTATCCTCCACTGACTAAGAAGATTCGAGCTTGAATAAATACTTGGACCAGTCGATTTCTGTCTTACGCAGGCTGACTACAACTAGGCAACTCTCTTTCGACTGCATTTAACAAACCCTGAAAACCAGAAACCATTTAACAAATAAAAAAGATGCATAAAATAGTAAAATATGTAAAGAAATCAATGATTTACCTTTTGTCTATCAGAGATTAAAGTAAAACATTGACCATCTTGCAAATTGAAATCCACCTTCAGCTTTTTGTAAGAACCAAATCCAATTAGCTATTGGATACAATCCATTATTTACATCTCTTCCTACAGCAGCCAATAATTGCCCTTTAAGTGTAGATTTTAAAAAGTACCCATCAATGCCAAAGATTGGACGACACCAAGTAGACCACAGTTTTCGGATGACTGCAAAGCATATATAAAATCTGTGAAAAGTTTTTGTTCTATCATCATTCAATTATGTGTCTACCACCACTGATGATCCAGGGTTTGACCTAGAAACAAAAGCAAAATTTAAATTTAAATAAATGTATAAAGATTAATCAAAAGTCAACAAAAAATATACTTACCTAAGTAGCTCTAAGCGGTAATCTTTGAGTCTTGAAAATTGTTCTTCATGGTCTTTCTTGATGATCTCCAAAGCTTTTTCCTTAGCCTTTTTAATCTTGTATATGGTGGTGATCAAATTGAACCTGTTTTGAATATCATGTTGAATCGCCTTTGGTTTAAGGTCGGGATCAGTCCTTAAGTCATCCAAATATAACTTCGTGATCAAGGGAGATTTCAACATCTTACTATAACCATCTTTCACGCAGCTGTGCTCATCTTCAAAAGTCTTCACCATCCACTTCCCAATTGGCTCTTCATAAGAGCAATATATCCTCCATGGACAATTCGTGTCTTCTATCCCGCACTTAGCTGCTGACTTGTCTTTTCCCCATGTACATAACTCTATATTCCATCCTTCTCTTAGCATATATATACTCCACTAAAGCCTCTTTGAAATCATCTAAGGTCTCAAAAACCTGTCTAAGCTTCAGCTCACCACTGCCTTTTTTCCATCTCACAAAGTTTTATTCCTCTTCTTCACCATCAGAGTTAGGTGGTGTGTTGTGGTAATCAAACTGCTCATCTTCGTCAACAAAATTTGACACATTCCTCTCAACTCTCATCTGTTCTTCACAAGGCTAAGGACAATCAACATCATATGGGTGTTCTGTGTTGTTGACTAAGAATAAATCAATTGCCCCAGACCATTTACTCGCTAAACACATCTTCTCAAAATTCACATCTTCCAAACTCAAATCCCCATTTACCAAACTCTTCCGTTCCTTCTTGTCTTCAGAAGGCATCTTATACCACAACCTATGGCCATATAACTCATCTGCTATCACTGAAAATATTTCCTCGGCTTTACATTCTACAATTTTAATCTCCCCTTCGTACAGATACACAAGTTCTCCATCATGCATTTTTACCCAATATCCACCATGGTACACATTGGATGTAATGTTTCCAGTATAGCTGTAATCGACATTATAAAGACTCATATAAATATACACAGACATAAAGACTCTAGTTTTGATTGAACTCTGAAAAAGAAAACTTACCTCATTGTTAAAAATTGAAGAAACGGCTTCAAATTAACAAAGGAACCACGACAATAGGTTAAAGATCCACTATCAGCTCTTTTGAAGTAGAAAAATCCCTACATCGCCAAGGAGAAATCAAATCGCAGCCGAGGACGTAGTAAATTAGGGCTACTAAGAAAGACTAAGAAAATAGAAACATATTAAATCTGATATTTACGTATTAAACCAGTTATATAGAGATGTGTTTTACAAAGAACATACATATACCAACAGCTCTGTTGGTAAGCGCCCTCGTGCATGGGTCCGTGAGTTACTGTGTTCGACTCCAGGCTGTTGCACAGCTTGATTTTCTTTGTTCTAAAAAGACGTGGTTTCTGTTTAATAGAAACGACGACGTTTTGAACCATTTAACGTTTGACTAACTCCGTTTAGGTCGACTCAGATTAAAGTATTAATATTAAAGTTCAGATGTTTTATTTTAAAATTTTATTAGTTCAGATAGGAAAATGCATTATATCATTGTTCAGATAGGAATAAGCACGGCTGCATGCTATTCTAGCACTTCTGTGACTCCCATCTTCTTCAAGAGCCTTCAAAATAGAAGATAAGAAATTAATAAGACCAATAAATCAAGTATAATTAATTACATAGTAACAAAATTAAAATAGCAGGTTTAATTTAGCTCGCTAAACCAGGTGGAAAGCTCTATTTCAAAATATGCATAGTGGAAAGCTAGATTATCATTGTACGCATATTCATTAAAGAGAAGACTCTTCTGCAGAGAAAACATAGAAGTAAGATCTAAAAGCTTATTGCGTAATATATCCTCTGATAACTCTTATTCACGAACAAACTTTCATTTACATACATCGATCCTTCCATATTTGCAAGCTTAAACTCATACACTCATACCTTGAATGCTGCCCATTTTCCAGGAGAAAAACATTGTCTTATTTTTTCCTCTCTGCTCTTCCCCAAGCATGAGCTAAGAACCACGCTCTGGTTTTGTGTTATCCGTCTCTGTTTGATCCCCAAATGTACTAATGGTGTAGGGAAAAGATTACATGGATGGGCTGCACAAATTAGATTGAGTTACAGAATAATTTAGACTTTTGGTAAAGTTTATATAGACTTTTTGGTTTAAAGTTATGAGTAACTACTTACTGCTTTGGATAGTGGTCCAAACGCTTGCCCTCCTGTACATATAGAAAGCATTGTCATGTAAAATCGGTTAGCATAACATTTTAATAACTTCCAACGTATTAGTGCAACTCATAATTATTTTTCTCCAAGACAGTATATATAGCTAGTGCCAAAGCCTTAGGTATATTCATTCTCCTTTGGCTCATGCTGCTACATGGAAGTATAAAGTATCATGTGGATAAACCTTAGGGCACAGATAAATATAGAGTTTATTAACCAAAGGAAAACTCTTACTTCCCCAACTGTTTTGGACCTTCTTTCCGTCCTAACCATGAACAGCTTGTACGTATCGTTCAACTTTTCCATAGGCTTTGCATTTATGCAATAGTTTAACGCTTTTCAGTCAAAGCATGTGAAAACAGCTGAATGGGTAAATGAAGATTACCTAGAGATTCCGATGTCGAAGATCTCAGTGTGCAAGGCATAAGCTCAATTATGTTTCATAATGCTCAGCCTTCAAAATAAAATCACTTTTCTTTAGTACTATCCAGTACACTAAAGGAACTCTAGCGAGCTAAAAGAGAGAAACAATACATATTCCTACTAGACTTTGAGTCTTTGTCTGCCAGAACTTGTGAACGCATTGCTCGTATATCATTAAGTCTCGAGTATTCTCCTACTGGTAAAAAAAACTATTGCTCCCATTTCAAACAGCAGGAGAAAGCTTGATTCATCGTGAATTTGAGGTAGCTTGATTCATTATTCTTAAAATCTAGGAATCTGATGGTGTTCTCCTTGAGTTTCCTATAATATATGCTGAAGGACTAGAGACTTATATACAATCTGTGCGAGAAAGCGAAAGAATCCCATTAAAGAGATCAAAGGGAGTGGAAAAGTGGAGGGTGTACTGATGAGATAAAGAAACGGAAACGGGAAAGAGGGAGGACAAAAGGCTAACAATCCGTTGAGACGAAACTCATGCTTTTCAGGAAAGGGGAAAGGGTTTCTTCAGAAAAGGAGAAAAGGGTTGACTGGACGGCGATGAGAAACGACGTCACTTCAGTAATTTTGATTTTCTTGGGCCATATTAGATTGAGATACAACGGTCCATCAACAATTTAAACCCAATATAACAACTGACGTGACAAAATGTTGTAACATAATTGATGGAATATTTATCCCTACGTAGATAAGTTCAATGGAACTTATATTCAACTTTTAATATTATATATATATTGATATTAAGAAAGGGTATAGTGATGATATATCAACATAGTAAACATATTACAATGCTTCTTAAAGAATATATAAAGGTTGACTATAAAAAAAAATTGAGATTTTTCCTTATTGTATGTTGGCTTTTTATAGTTTCTAATTGTATGTTTTTTATTAGTGGTTGCCAAAGAAGAAGAAAAAAAGCCGGTTGCTTTCTCTGATGGTTGTGATGTAAATGTATTCTAACAACGTAGTTCAAAAAAAAAAAAAAAAAAAAATTCTAACAACGTAACTTGTAGTGTAAAGCTGTTTTATTTGGTACCACAGAACAACAAAAGCGTTACATACATCAGATTTAACCGTAATCACACTTTATTTGTTTCCCACCCTAAATAAAATATGACATATCTTGGCAAATAAATTAAATACAAACCCAAAATGTTTTGTAAAACTAACTAAAATAGATATAAAACGCGTTACGGTTATGTAAAAATTAAAAACGTTCTTACAATTCTGTTTAAAGATTACATTCCCCAAATAAATAACATTTAAATCCTTTTTTAGAACAAAAATTTAAATACTTAATCACCAGAAATTTTCGTTTGTTTCAATTCTCAACCACTTCATGTCAACAACCGTAGCAAAAAAAAAAAAAACAATCTGATTTGTTAAAATTCTTAGGTTCATAAATTTTAACCTCTTTCAATTTCTTTAATTATTTATTTTTTTCGTGGGACCCAGATTTCAAACAAACTGTTTAGAACGTCTTCTAAAACATGTGTTTGGTCTGAGAAAATAATTGTTTTCGAACGTTCAAATTCTATTAGCCGTTTGGCTTACAGAGAGAAAAAGAAAAAATCAGAGAGAAAATATTCTGTAGAGGATTGGTACATGGGTGAATCTGCAGTTTTGTTTCATTCATATTCGTTCGCAGGTCCTATTTCTCGTCATGGATCTCATCAGGTTTGCTTTCTTTCCTTTCTGTGATAAGAAGTTCCTGGAAAATTCTATGGTTTTTGGGTAGTTCTCGAATTAAAGTTAGCTTTCGTCTCTAATCTGGATTTTCCCGGGAATCAACGAGAAAGTTCGCTAAGAATCTGGTGCAATCCTGAATGTGTTTGTATGAATCAGATAATTTACAAATTTAAAGATTTCAGATTTACTTTTCTTGGATTGCAGGATAATACTATGCATGCGCTCAGCCAGTCAGTCTCATTTGGTAGGTTCATGACAGAGAATCTTGAATGGGGAAAATGGTCAAGCTTCTCGCACAAGAAGTATGTCGATGAGGCAGAGAAATATTCTCAGCCTGGATCTGTTGCTCAGAAGAAAGCTTTCTTTGACGCTCATTACAAGAAAATAGCCGAAGCCAAGAAAGCAAAAGATTCAAAACGAGAACCAGAAAGTGTTGCGGTCTTGCTAAACACATTGGAGACATTGACTAACGATGAGAATAAAGAAGAAGAAGAAGAAGAGAGTGTCGAAACTGAGTTAGTCTTGGGTGGGGAAGAGGTGGTTTTGAGTATTGGGAAAGATGATGAAGAACCCGAAAGAATGGGTGTTGTTGTGGTCTTGGAACAAGAAGACACTGTGGTTGATAACTCTGTGATTGCAGATGCTGTTCTTGAAGTGGTTGATGAGAATAACATAGAGTTGTTGAAGAAGAGCTCTTCTGTTGGAGAAAAAGAAGAAGAAGAAGAAGAAGAGAGAAAATCTGTTACCAAGAACTCATCGGTAGCTCCAGTAAAAGCAATGGAGCTTGTTGTTTCACAGAAAATAAGGTAAACAAAAGCAGGTTTTGACTGTTTTCTCTACATATTTTTCCTGAATCTGATTTGTTCTATGTAATGTTTTTTTTTTTTTTGCAGTGAAGCACCGATAACTCATAGTTCCATGAAGAAAAACAAATTCAGTTTCTTGAAGTAAGCCAGATTCTTTTTCTACTCTTGAGTCAATTTGCATTTGAGTTGGTGTTCTTATTCTAATTGTATACTGTTTTTTTTTCTTGTGATGCAGGCTTTTGATGGGAAACACTAAAACTCAAGATCAGGTAAGATTTATATTTCAACAATTCATGAGAACAAGATATTTCTCATTTTTATTTGTAATGCGAAGACTGACACTAGCTGTGTTTCTTTTACAGAGAAAGACTGATAAGAAACCGAAGAAAATGTTTCTATGTCTTTGCTTCAACCCTGAGATGGTTGGGGAAACAGAAGGGGCAACCAAAACACATATGAGGAATCTCTGAGAATAAAGATAGCTTCTTCTTTGTTGGCTGGCTTCAAAGCTCTTAGAATCTGTCCTCAGATTCAATTATGGTAGAAAAGATAGCATCTTTGAGTGGCAAAACAAAAAAACTGGGATACCAGAATAAAGTTTTGCTTTGTTTTCTTGTATTGTATATGTATTGAACATTCTGTTGTATGTTTCTTTTACAAACTCATGTTGATATATTTTGTTTGTGTTGTTGTTCATTGAGATGTAAGTGCAGGAACCTCTGTTCTGATTTGGAATGGAATGAGTTTGTTCAGAAACTTTACGTGATTATTTAGTTTTGAAATCAACATTTAAACATATGATAATTCTTCCAAAGTTGTTGAAACCTCTGTTGTGATGTGGGTGGGAATCAGTAGTTGAATAAAGGTTTCAACTTTACATAACTTATTAAAGTTTATAAATCACAGTTTCTTCAAGAATCAAATAACATTTACATAGGTGTAATATTCATTCATCCACAAAGTTGTTAGAAACAATCAAACTTACATAGCAAACGGTAGCAAGTAATACAATTAAGTCATTATTTCTTCAACCAAACACCATCCTTCTTCATCAAACTCTTCCACATGATCAATCATCATCAGCCCCACATCACAAAAACTTAGCCTTCCATCATCATCATGAGACCCATCTTCTCTTTTTTCACCATCATCACTCTGTATATTCACAACTTCCTCTACAACATCTCCTTCTTTTTCATCATCAGACTGATAATCATGATCATCAGCATAATCATCATCATCAGACATTAGATTAAGGATTCCGGTAGCCGAGAACCCGGAAAGCTTCAAACAAGGTCTTGTCCCACCAGGAGGAACTTGCCAAGTCAGCATATTATATGTGACGTCACTTGCTCTCATCTTTGAACATCCTTTACTTTTGACTCTGGATTTGGAGAGTGGATGTGAATGGCACTCAGGGCACGTTGCTGACCAGCATTTTCCGGTGGATCTCGAGTGGTTGGTCGGCTTTGATGGCACTTTGGCAAATGATCCGGAGGTTGGGTTGTAAGTCATAGGGATCCACCTCGATTTTGGCTTGGTATTAGGCAACGGTGGTAAAATCAGTAAGGTCTTCACCATGCCATGTTGTTTGCCTTCTCGCTTCATCTCAGGCGCTAGATTGATGAGACTTTTACCGAATAAGGAAAATTGTGAAAATTTGAAATGATAAAATAGGCTAGCTTGAAAGGTATATAATAAGAAGAGGGAGTTGACATGACAAAATAAGAAGAGGGTTTGTAAACGGAGGAATATGCTTGTGACACAAGGAATAGTTAAAAGTCTTCAAATATAGTTAGGTTTAGTTGTCATCCTCTATATCTTAATTATATCAGTTTTGTTATATGCGTGAATTACAAGAATGGTCCGTCTTGACCAAACAAATAAGAATGGGTCCGTCTCAGACAAGAAAGTTTCTTACAAAAACCCTTCTGGGTTAGGTTATTAAAATTAAACCAAATCTGAAATTTCAAAGAGTACCACGTATGTTATGACCAAACATATAAGAATGGGTCCGTCTCAGACGAGAAAGTTACAAAAGCCCATCTCGGTTAAGTTATATCTGCTCTTGAATAGAGTTTTGGGCTTACTTTTGTTTTTATGACATTTAATTGTTTGGTTTTTGGGCTTAGTTTTTTTTTTTTGGTCAACAAAAATATTTAATATTTTCAACAAAACAAATATTTAATATTTAATTGTTTGGTTTTTGGGCTTAGCCCAAAAATATTTAATATTTTCAACAAAACAAAATTATCTATTATTAATCACTTATTTAAATCATGTACTTTAAAACATGTTAGTATTTTTATTTTAAATAACAATCATTCTATCTTGATAAATTTTAATGGTAACTTTTAAATAATTTATTGTTTTATTTTTCTTAATAATTTACAGATTTTTTAAAAAATGTAAAGAAAAACCAAAACCCAAATCTAAAAACTAAAATCCAAAATCAAAAGTTGAAAACGCAGGTTATATTTTTTGCTTTTTTTATTTACAAAATAAACTATTTCAAAAAATTTAGAAAATTATTTTGTCATCTTTTCAGTTTTAAATTACATGTTCGATTAATTGAGATTTGTTTGTTGGTAATATCAGTTCAAACTAACTCAGCGGGTCTAAAAATTAAAAACCCAAACCAAAAGCTGAAAATCAAAAATAGAAACTTAAAAACTAAAACCAAAAACCAAAATCTAAAAATAAAAACTGAAACTAAAACTAATAAAAAACAATCATCACCACATATTTTGGTGAACTAATTTGATACCAAAACATTCTTTAAATTAACAGAAAATCAATTATATAAATTTTTTATCATAAAAAATTTCCGCGCTTTTCAAGCTCGGGTCAAAATCTAGTATTCTATTAAAATAGAGTCATTCTTTTTATCTACTAATACAAGTTGTCATTTAAATTTGGACTCTTTCTAGAATGTTACAAATAATATAAGTCACATAATTGATTAAATCGTATTACTTAAATTAAATCAACACAATTAATGTAAAAAGACGACCTTAATGTAAACTACCTTCAAAATATGGCAGGTATTTATGTGTATACCGAAAACACATATTTTCTCTTTCAAATATGGAATGTTCTAAAAGAATATATATCATCAAAATATGGAATATGGAAATCTACTAAGTATACTTAAATTAAACCAGTGGTTATTTATGGAATATAGTATTGGGATTACTTTTATTTTTGAACAAATTATATAGTTTGGTTTTTGGGCTTAGTATTAAGAAAAAAACTCTAAAAAAATTGAATAAACTTTTCACCTTACAAGATAAAAAAATCAATTATTATTTTCAGACACAAAAGGTATTTAATATTTTTAACAAAATAAAATTATCTATTATTAATCCTTTATTTAAATCATGTACTTTAAAACATGTTAATATATTTTTGTATTTTAAATAACAATCACTTTGTTTTGATAAATTTCAATGGTAACTTTTAAATAATTTATTGTTTTATTTTTCTTAAATAATTTACTGACTAAAAAATGTAAAGAAAAACCAAAAACCAAATCTAAAAACTAAAATCCAAAACCAAAAGCTGAAAATACATGTTATATTTTTTTGCTTTGTTTATTTACAAAATAACCTATTTCAAATTTTTTTTTTTTAAATTTGTTGTCATCTTTTCAGTTTTGAATTAGATGTTCGGTTATTTGAGATTTGTTTGTTGGTAATATTAGTTCAAACTAACTCAGCAGGTTTAAAAATTAAAAACCCAAACCAAAAACTGAAAATGAAAAGTAGAAACTTAAAAACTAAAAACCAAAAACCAAAATCTAAAATAAAAACTGAAACTAAAAACTAATGAAAAATAATCATCACCACAAATTTTGGTGAACTGATTTTATATCAAAATATTCTTTAAACTAAGACAATAAATTTTTAATCATAAAAAATTTCCGTGCTTTCAAGCGCGGGTCAAAATCTAGTTAGAATTAAACCAAAGCTGAAATTTCGAAGAGTAACACGTATGTTAATCTAAGGGGGGCTTATTGTATTAGGGATTTCATTAAATCTTGGTTTTTTACCAAATCATGTCTTATTGGATATGGTATTTTTTAAAAGTCTAACAAATCCATGGTTATTGGATATAGTACTTGTATAAATCCTATCAAAACTCCCCTTATTGTAAAATATGGATTTCATCAGTGATTTATATCAAAGATTATTTTGGATTATTAGAAATAATTATTTACACTACAAATTCAATAAAAAGAATACCACCTCTAGAGATGGAATTTGAAATAAAATAAAACAAAACACATTCATTGTTTGTCGTACCTCACAAACAACCACAACAATGGCGATGTAAGCTTGTTTCACAACCATAATTCCTCACCTTTCCCCAGAGTTCCGTAGAGATTGAGTTGTCTAGGCCAACGCCATCATCACCTCTGATATCCTCTTTGATTTATCTATCGAGTCCCTTACTCTTCACCACCACCAATTCCATGCTCTTCGATATCAACATGGCTCATTCTTTCCTTCTACAGTCCTACCCTCTCACTCCACTCCATTCCCTTCCTCTCCGCCTCCCGTTCTCGGATCTCCGATCTCTCGCCAAGCCAAACAAGAGTGATTGCCGATCTGATGGAGCAGTGTCGTACATACAAACAGAAAATCTCTCGCTGACGTTGAAGGTCCACTTGTGGATACTGGGGACAGCAGTAATCAGGCAAGCGGGTATGTAGTACCAAAATTTACAGCCAGGCACCCAAGAATTATTAATAAATCACCTGCTTTTGGACTCAGGTTGCCAATCTTAGCTGCAAGCTTAAGCACTATATATGTGCCTGACATACGCGTAGAAATTATTCCAATCTTGGAATGATGATGGAGAGGAACCTTTATAATCTTTTTTATGTAAACATGTTTTTGTCCACTTTGTGTCAAAACGTTTTTTGGGTTATTTTTTTTGTCAAGTCTATTTTTTTTATTTATAAATTTGTATGTTAGTTATGATATGATAATGATTAGAATGTATGGATATGATATTTGTTGCATTGATAAGAATTGCTTAAGATTATCTCTTCTTTAGTTAAACTAAAAATTATATATATATACCTGAATATCAAACTCGTAATATATATACGTGCAACACCTTTGCTAGTGAGAGATCATCCATTACTTTTCTGAAAAATAAGGTTAGCTTCTTCAAGTGTTTTTAATGATTTTTTTGCCTTTGCTATTGTTTTTATTTCTCCATGTGACCATTAATATTGACGTTGAATGAAATGATTGTGTTTGACTTATCTTTTGTTTTCTCTAATGCTTGTGTGATTTTTTAACATTATTGAACGTTGTTTGGGTATCTATCTTTCTCGTTAAGATGGGAGATACACAAGATGGAAAAACAAAAAATCCATACTTTTCTTGGTCTCCCCAAGAAACTAAAACATTGGTGCACTTGTTGGTCGATGGTATTAATCACAACTGGGCTGATGGAAGTGGTTCATTCAATAGACTTATCGTGGAGCAAAGAATACTACCAGAGCTAAACAAAATTTGTGGATCTACGAAAACGTTTTCCCAGTACAAAAATAAAACGAAGATTCTCAGGAAAAGGCATAAGATGTTTGTGGATCTTCTCCGTTTTAGTTCTGGGTTTGGATGGGACTCAGACATGAAGAAATTCACTGCTCCAAATGAAGTATGGGAAGAATATTTCAAGGTATATAATTTGTTAAATTGTCATTTTTATATAAATTTTGTTTTGTCTTGTATGATAACAATTTTGTAATTATTACAGGGTCATAAAAAACATAAATACTTATGTGGTGATAGATTTGAAGATTATGAAGACCTAGAGAAGATCTATGGAAAAAATATTGCTAAAGGAAATAATGCAGTTGGGTTAGGTGATAATACGGATGCTCGCACTTATGCATCAGGAGATAATGAATGGGAATATCCAGGAGGATCTCCTCAAATGATCGGTGATGATGAGGATGATGATGATGATGATGATGATGATGATGATGATATTGATGGTGTAGAACAAGCTTCATCTTTGAGACACAAGAATGTGATAGAAAGCTCCCAGTAAGAAAGAGAGCTAGGACTGAAGTATATAATGTGGAGAAAATTTCTGAGGAGATAAGTGCTGTTACTGGAACAACCAACCAAATTGTCAGTATGATACATCAAAGATGGCAAAAAGAAGCTGAAGAAAAAGAATCTGAGAAAAAAGTTAGTACTGTATGGGATGCTATTAAGGAAATTGATGAGTTAGAAGAAAATGACCGTTTTGATGGGATGAATTTAGTTCACCAGTTTGGTATGAAAGCTGAATTCATGAGTATGAATAGGGAGGAACGTTTTAGATGGATTAAACGTAGTTTACGTAAGCCATGAAATTTGGTTTAGCTTTTATGTTAGTTTTATTGTTTTAGCTTTTAATGGTGTTTTCTTTTCATTGTGTTTTTTTTTCTTCTGGTTTGGTATTTATTTTGTGTTGCTTTTAAGTAATAAAATACAAGTTCTTTATCGACTTTTTGTTTTTTGTAGGTTCTAGTTTACGTTGATCACTTCCAACGACACCAATAACAATTGGTAATGTTTGTTATCTCAACATTATAATATCTTAGTGCTGTTACATATGCAAGTATTGTATAATAATATAATATGTTTAGTGCTCCCTCTTCAGAAGAGATGTTGTAAATTCATGTCTCCTGAATACACAATATACGTATATGTTAACGTTTATCGAATATCTAAAAAAATGTTCTCCTGTTTTAAATTCCAGATTCTTCATTCATGGATCAAGTGACTAATGAGAAAGAAGAACTACAACTAAGGAAGAATAAAATGAGGAAAATGAATTTTCAATCGGATGTTGATATACTTTTGTTGATGTTAACTATCAATGTGAGAATATGCTCTTTAGCACATCGTCTATTTTCCCAAATTCAACGTCCGATTAAGAAGCCAACTACAAGACTGGGAAATGAATATATACAAAATATTTTGAAGGAAGATCCAGAATATTTCTGGAGTTTATATCGTATGTATCCAGATGTCTTTTTGGATTTGTGTACTCTTATCCGAGAAAAGACATCTTTAAGAGATACGAGATGGATTTCAGTTGAGGAAATGCTTGCCACATTTTTGCTAATTGTTGACCAGAGCACGAGATATATTCTCCCTCAAGATGTATTCAAGAGATCAAGTTTTGCAATAAGTCAGAGCTTTAATAAAATATTAAGGGTATTAAATACTATTGGCCCAAGTTTGATGGTTAAACCAGGAAATGGAGTACCTTCAAAAATAAGAGAAAGCACAAGATTTTATCCTTATTTTAAGGTATGTAAAAAATTACCTCATCATTTTTTTTTACTTTACGTAGTTAAGAATTTTTTTTTTTTATTTTGCAGGATTGTATTGGAGCTATTGATGGAACACATATTCCCGCTATGGTTGTAGGAAATGAAACTGCTAGATATCGAAAAAGAAAAGGATTTTTATCTCAGAATGTGTTAGCTGCATGCAACTTTGATTTGCAATTCATATATGTTCTAACTGGTTGGGAAGGTTCAGCTCATGATGCAAAAGTGTTAAATGATGTTTTAACAAGAAGTAACAATACATTTGAAATCCCAGAAGGTAAATGCATAACTCAATAAAAATTTATATTATGTTTGTTTAAGATAGGTTTTATTAAAATTTTATATTTTATTTCTATTCTTTATTACAAAATTTCAGGTAAATTTTATCTAGCAGACTGTGGATATGCAAATCGAAGAAATTTTCTAACTCCATTTCGAGGTACTCGTTATCATCTAAATGAATTTACTGGAGGGAACAGTGATCCAAGAAATAAAGAAGAATTATTCAATCATCGTCATGCATGTTTGAGAAATGTCATCGAAAGAATTTTTGGTATTTTCAAATCAAGATTTCTGATATTTAAATCTGCTCCTAATTTTCCATATAAGACACAAGCAGAGTTAGTGCTTGCATGTGCTGCATTGCATAATTTTCTACGTTAGAAATGTCGTTCAGATGAGTTTCCTCCAGAAGAAACATCTGATGAACAAAATGTTACCCAATCAAATACTGATGGTCATCAATTTCTTGGCACACAAGAACAGCAAAGGGAACATGCTAATGAATGGAGAACAACCATTGCTTCAAATATGTGGAATGATGCTGTTATTAGTGGGTCTCAACGGTGATATAAGCATGTCTAAGTTATCTTTTTTTTTATGCATCTTTACATATTTATGGTTGACAGTAATAATGAAATCTCACGACTATTTTTTTGGATGATAGGTGTGAGATGGCTTATGACAAAGTTTCAGCCAAGTGAAGCATTTGCTATTGATAATGATGTTATAGATTACATGTTCTACGTGGATTTCCATTTCTAGTTATTTTTTATTGTTAAAAATGTTCCTTTTTAAAAATCTTAGTAAATTTATTCTAATTTTTAATTTAAATTATATCAAATCCCTTATCAAAATCTCTAATAAAATTCTTAAAATCCCATCTAAATCCCTAGAGATTCATCTAAATCCCATCATATATCAAATCCTTAATATTTTTTTAAATCCCCAGTTCAATAAGCCCCCCTAAATGCTTGGATTCATCCATTGGGCCAATTCATCGAACAAGATGAATCCATCTTCATCTTTAAAAAAAAAAAAAAAATCAAGATTGACCATTGTAATTGATACATTCTTTGTTTCTTTGATAATGAAATGAAGTTGATATTTTGACAATTCATGGGGATGAACTACTAGTCTGAAGAGTTAATAGTGCGGTATGCTAATGGCTAAACATGTTGGTCTACAACTTGATTTAGCATATAACCTAGACTCTTTTATATATTTATTTTTAAAAGTTGGAAAAGATTTTAGATCAATAATGTCAGATGACCAAATAAGAAACTGAACCAATCATATAGTTTACTAGTATTACTAGTCTAGTAATATGCATTTAACCGTACTAGTGGACTTACCAAATAGCCATGGTTGAATCAAAAAATAGTTAGAAAGCAAAATTGAATCACAAATTAGAAAACTAAAAAACACTTGTGTATGAAACAAAAAGCCTTAAAAATGTATATTCTTAAACTATTACACTATAATGAGTTTTATAGAAAGAAAATACGAATAACTGGAAACCATGACGACGAACGAAATTACTTTTTAAAAAATGAATATTTTCGGAACTAGGGGATTATATTACTTAAACTTGGATAAAACCTGCGTTTTACGCAGGGTGAATATATGTAATTAAAATATAAAATTTTAGTAGTGACAAATTTAAAATTTATATATGATTGTTTTTATATGTATTTAAAATTTTATAATTTTGAAATTTATAAAATTTTATAGAATTATCTATACGTATGATCAAAAACAATTGTAATTAGAACTGTAGATCAAAGCTTAGAATTTAATGGACCCGATTTCATATGTCTTTTCACTTTTCAGTGTTCGAATGATGGAAAATAAACAGAGTGTCACTGGACTTGATAGGTAGAGTATTAGTAAGTTCCCAAATGTTTTCTTAAGAAACAGTTGGTAAAATATTTGCATTTAAAATATATAAAGTTTAAGAAATAATTTAATATAATTTATTTATTTGTATAATAATATTAGAAAATTATATGTATTACAAATTATATTTTAAAAAAAAAATAATTTTATAAAAAATTAAGTTAAATATTTTAATTTTTTCAAAAACCAATAAACAATTTAAAATTAATTATGGTCATGATTTAACATAACCAAAATGATTTAAAAATTTAAAAATTAACAAATTTAAAATTAACTCAGTTTTATATCATGTTTTAAAAAATTTTAACAACTAATTATGGTTATGAGAAGTTTACGTTCACGTGTCAATCCTATTTATCTTTACGTTCACTTTGTCTTTTATTTTATTTTGGTTATTACTCGATATAAATATTTATTTTTAAATTTATTCTCATTTCGTTTGTTTGTGTTGATCTGAGATTTAGAAAATACTTAAATAAAGAGATACATACTTATGCTAAGATCTGCACTTTATGCACAATAAGTATTTTATATATATTATTTATTTTATATTTTTCTGCATATTATAAAATAATAAAATAATAAATATATATATTAAATAACTAAGAAATCAGTTACTATTATGTAATAAATTGACGTATGGATTTAAATTAAACTATCACTCTTGTTTATTTGCAATTAGGGTAAGTAAATCAAAATAATCAATTTTATATATTGTATATGATATATAATTAAATTTAAATGATATAAACATAGTAATATAACACATTTTTAATATGGATATTTATTGAATGAGGTTTCTACTCATAAGGTTGTATGATTATTTGCATATTTGTGTAACAAAACTTTACACAAACAAATTATTTTTTAATGTGAGATGTTTAGTCGTTTTAATAATTTATAATCATTTGAAAAAATGATGACATATTTCAAAATTAAAATATTTAATATATGTTCAATGCAAACATCAAAATATAAGTATGTATTTTCATACGATGTATAGTTTAATTTAAACGATATGAAATATATATAAACTAAAATTATTTCTTCATATGGTCTTATAATAATTATATTTTAATATATAAAAAAATAAAACCTTGATCCTAAAAGTTTATGTGAGACTTTTAACAGTTTTAGTAATTTGTACGCATTTTGAAAAATTTGAAATACAACATACAAAAAAAATTAAGATTTTTATTATATGATTAATGTAATTGTTTAATTTATTTTAATAATAAAGAAATAAAAAAATGAGAAAAAGTATACAGACTGCGATCAAATATTTATTGTTTAAAATCATTAATTGTCATATATATATTTTGATCACATTAGGTAATTTCGTAGATTTTATTTAAGGAAATCATCCAAAACAATAAATATTTGATATATGCGACCAACTATAGCATACGAAATATTATATTGCTAGAGAGTATAATTTTTAAACTATACATTATATTACATACTCTAGAATCCTTCTAAATTGAAATATAAGACAAAGAACTATGCCACATAGGATTAGGATTATTTTTAATTATTACAAATTTAAGGTTACAATTTTTTAAATGATTCTCTTTTAATATATAGGGGATAATATATAATATATAATGTAGATGTAGATAATACAGTCATACATATAAATGCACATGCGTGTGATGCGTGTGATATTAATGTAAACTGAGTTTTATAGTCTTATATTTAGATGCACATGCGTGTGATATTAATGTTTCCCTAGCGAAATATATAATCGATTTTGGACCTACATCTTTTCCAATTGAACCTAAAATTGCCACGTCAGCTTAATTGGCATGTTAATTGATTGACAACTCAACAAGATTACTTTTTAATTAATAC